GTAGCTTCCTCGCTCCGCCCAGAATCTAAAAACTAAAAGTATAAACATGATTTGGTGATAATTTCAGGTATCTACTGTTATTCGTTATTGAGGTATAACAAAAAACAATATCGATTTTGTCGGTTATTACTGGAGTTGCATAAAATTCCGATTTTTCATTATTTTCTTTATTTTTAAAAGTACGGATTTGCTACCAGAAATAACACCCAAAGTAAAAATTGAAGCTTTCATACCCAAAGGCGACGATGGATAGAAAAAAAAGAACACTCATTAAAGTGTTATATCACACATTTTTACAGTATCTATAAAATGTATTCTGTTATTCATAAAAAATATAGTAAAAACATATTTTTATTTCATAAATTTGGTTTCGTCATGACTTCAAAGAATATATATATTATATGTAAAAAAAAAATTCTAAAAATACTATATTATATGGTATACCTAACTTTTCGATAAATCGAGTGTTTAAGATTATAATCGGGGTTGTTATGTTTAAAAAACAATGTTTCAAGCAACTTGATTAAAACATCAATTTAAAACATTTGTTTTAAACTTTTTGTTCATTGTTTAAAACAAATAAAACATTTGTTTAAAACAGTGTACAATCCAAGTGAATATTGTGTTTTTATTTGGTTTTTATTAATAATAAAGAATAATAGAATTGATATATTTCAGAAAAAAAGTTAAAGTATTAAATAATTATATCTATTACCATCTTTCATATAATTGTATTTTTAATTTTATTGAATAAATTACTAAATTTAAAATGTTTTTACCTAATAGTTGATATAATCATACTATAATTCTCACATAAAATATCGATTCAGAAAATATTTAAAACACATTTAAAATACTTTTAAGATTTAAAATAAGAAATAAATAAATAGTGAAACACTGAAACATATACAAGTATAGGTAAACGGCATATTGGCATATAAGTGAATTACAAATTAATTTAAAATTAAGTTATTTTAAATATACTGCAGTTTAAACTTAAACATTTTACATCTTTTTAAACAGTTTAAAAAATGAAAAAATACATCGACTCTGATTTTAATATAAGAATCATCTTATTGTACCTACTATTAATTATCCCCGTACGGGTATAATACAATAGTTGCGCATATTAACGTAGGTAATAACTAATAATATTATTATTATTAATAATATCATATATAATATGGGTACCTATCAGGTAAACATAGTTCAGAATAACTCGGAACCGTTGTGGCGGCTTCGATGAAGGTAAAAGTTGGTTACGGCGTACGATGATATTTTACCAACATATTAGATATTATTATTATAGACGTAATATAATACAGGGAATAACGGTATTATCTTGCGGCGATTAATTGGATTAAGATTGGAAACGACGTCGATCACGATCGTTTATAGTTAAACGTCTCGGCAACATATACAATACTGTTATTATTATAATAATAAAATAACAATATATGTATAATATATATAGTTGAGATTTTGCACAACTTTGAAGACGTGAAATTGGTAAACTTTACGCGGCGATGCCCCGAGGGGCGGGACTCCGTATATTGTGTTACATCCATATTATACAATAAGTATACATGTATAATGTATATATTATCTGACTGGAGCAGGTAATTTATACGAACTACCTTCCGTAATTAAAGTGATATTTTGTTGTGTGCGCTTATACATACACTAGCAAGTACCCGTTATAATAATTTAACTTTAATTATATTAGTATTATTAACTAAAAATTTCATCTAGTAATATATATAGTAATATAGTAATCATATAGTAATTAAACTATAATCAGACTTGAAATACTTTTTATTTTACCGGTTCTCAATAAAAACATAAACACAATATGTAAGTATCAAATTGCAAATTTATACTAATAGGTAATAGATGTTTTATTTATTTTTCTGTTTATTATTATTATTATTATAATTTAGAAGAAAGTAGAAATTGAGAATAATATAAAATGTATTAGAATGTATTACATAAGTATCTATTCTAAAATTATTTTTTCAAACGACTTTTAATACGAGAGAGTTCTCGTTCAATTGAAAGTCGTTGTCTCTTAAAATTTAAATCAATTCTTTCCGTTTTTATCTTTTCCTCTTCATCATTCAGCTCCAGTAATCTTTTAGAAATCAAATCATCATCAATTTTGTTTTGTTGCAAAATATGTTCATTTATAGTTTTATTTCTATTGCTTTGAGAAACTATAATAGAAGATAATTATTAATAAAACAAATTAATAAAATAATATTTTTAAATCATCACATACTTTCAAACATATTAAGTTCTTGAGAACCAATAGACACTTGAGATAGATTTAAAAGTTCTTTTTGGTCAAATGCTTTATACCAGTTTTGGAGGTCTAAGGTTTCATTCCAATCAGGATTAATTATGATTTTTGAAGATCCAGTTGACACACTTATTTTGTTGACATTATTGTAATCAATAATTTTTCCTCCTATTATTGACATAATATCACCTTCGTCGGCATTAAAAGTAGTAGCTTGTATATCCCATAGAGTAACAGTAACCTTAAATAAAGCAATTTCAATATAATAATGTTACATTATTTTATTACTAGATTCCGGTGTTTGTCATCCCGCCTACGGCGGAAAGACTGTGTGGGCGGTGGTGCATCTTTGTCGGCTATGCTGGGTTTTTTGATCCAGCCTGCGGGGGGAAGGGGGGTCGTCGGGTATTATGTTTTGTCGTGTTGGCAGCACTTTTTAAGCGTTTTGAACTCGGAAGAGTGTCTAGTCGTAAGTCACGCGATTCAAGTCGATCGTAAGACACAGCCAGCCAGGTAGGCAATCCGACTACGTCGGATCGCAGACCATGCCCCATTCGTGTATGCCGGTTCTTGAGTGTGTGTGTTGAAATCGGAAATTCGGATTCTGGGGTTGAGTGTCTAGCTATCAGTCATCTCGGGTAAAAGTCGATTCCCGAGTGTCGGATGCAGTGGGGGACACTGGGGGTGGAAGTCGCTCGTATGCAAGTAGCTAGTCAGGTAGGCAATCCGACTACGTCGGATCGCAGACCATGCACCGGGCGTGTATGTCCGGTTCTCGTATGTATGTTGAAATCGGAAATTCGGATTCTGAGTTTGAGTATCTAGCTATCAGTCATCTCGGGTGAAATCCGATTCCCGAACGGACAATCCGCCTACAGCGAAAAGTGCTCGAAACGGCCGTTCAAATATGAAAAAGTATACAGGAGGTAATAAAATTGTATTTGTTGATAATTATAGAGAACAGTTATCAGGTGTTTTATGTTAGGCTTCACTGTAATCAATGTAATCATTGTTATGTTTTCGCGATTATAACAAATAAGTCGACAAAATCTAATTTTGTGATTGGATATTTTCTAAAATATACCTTCCATGTATATTTATTTAATTATGAGAATTAAGTCAAATTAACAAATAGATAATTATATTGGTGAATAACAAATTTTATTGAAATGTACTACTATCCTATTAAACGTAGGTATCTATAAATGAATACACTACACATACTCTCGTTTCCGACACACTACTCCACCCCGGGACTCGAATTTTCGAAAAAAACGGCAAATGAAGCAGTCATATTACAGTCGTACTATTTTTTAATATAGTATATAATCTGTAGCAGTATTTAACCAAATCGGAATCACGTAAAAACTGTAATATATCAAGTAGGTACTACACGTAGGTTAGTTATATTATAATGTATTATTAAAAGAAACATGTAGGTGCGTCGGTAAATGTTAATTATAATAATTTTTTTGCCCAATAAATATCGTCAAACGAATAATAATAATGTATATAATATAATAATGCAAATTAAAAAAAAAAATTAACACTTTCGTTAAAAATTATAAATGTGACGAAAAAAAAAACGCAAAAAAAAGAAATTCGATTTAACACGGCCCCGCCGGCGTTCGAAACCACGACCGTCGAATCACCCGTTTTAACGCCTAACCTACCTAGCCACCTACCGAGATGAAATTAGGAGCCAAATCTATGACTCTTAAGGGCGTTTGAGCGGACCACCATGTCCGCCACCTTCGGACGTTCAAGACGCGAGATTTGCGAAAAAAATCGAACCTCGAGGCGCATGTATATATGCCTGTATATAGCGATACCTACACGGTACCTACTCTCGTTTCTGACACACTACTCCACCCCGGGACTCGAATTTTGGAAAAAAACGGCAAATATAGTCGTACTATTTTTTAATATAGTATTTATAATCTGTAGCAGTATTTAACCAAATCGGAATCACGTAAAAACTGTAATATATCAAGTAGGTACTACACGTAGGTTAGTTATACGTTATTATAATGTGTTAATAAAAGAAACATGTAGGTGCGTCGGTAAAATCAAGTATTAATTAAATGTTAATTTTAATTATTTTTTTGCCCAATAAATATCGTCAAACGAATAATAATAATATATATAATAATATAATGCAAATTTAAAAAAATATTAACACTTTCGTTAAAAATGATAAATGTGACGAAAAAAAAAAACGCAAAAATAAGAAATTCGATTTAACACGGCCCCGCCGGCGTTCGAAACCACGACCGTCGAATCACCCGTTTTAACGCCTAACCTACCTAGCCACCTACCGAGATGAAATTATTAGTCAAATCTATGACTCTTAAGGGCGTTTGAGCGGACCACCGTGTCCGCCACCTTCGGACGTTCAAAACGCGAGATTTGCGAAAAAAAATCGAACCTCGAGGCGCATGTATATACATGCGTATATATGCCTGTATATAGCGATACCTACACGGGTACCTACTCTCGTTTCCGACACACTACTCCACCCCGGGACTCGTCTGTGGCTATAAATATAGCAGGGAACGCGAATAAGTAGTCGACGGGGAGGGTGATATGACCGAAAGGGGCTAAAACTATAATTTTCAAAAAAAACGGCAAAAAGAGCAGTCATATAGTCGTACTATTTAACTGCCAGAGTTTAATCAGTTCTATTAGATCTATTAGTTTATTAATACCGTATTAAACAGTATTTAACCTAAAAACTGTAATATATCAAGTAGGTACTACATGTAGGTTAGTTATATTATATTGTATTTAGATAAGAAACATATAGGTGCGTTGGTCACGGTAAAATCAAGTATTATTATTATTATTTATAAAATAGTACAGTATCATTATACAATTTAGTTACAATTTAAAATATCTACTTTAATATATATTAATATTTTTTTGCCAAAAAAAAAAAAATGTGACGAAAAAAAAAACTCGAAAATAAAACATTCAAATTATCACGGATTGCGCAAATTATCGAAAATCCCAGAGGCCGGGTTCGAACCCACGACCCTCGAGTCACTTATCCTAACGCCTAACCAACCTAGCCACCTACTCAGATGAAATTCCGAGGCAAATGTATGACTCTTAAGCCGCGTCGCCGTGCTCGCGGCGATAAAATAAAATTCTTATCACTTTCTTTATCAATAAAAACAATATTTAAGAAAATCCCAATAAATCCTATCAAAAACTCAAAACCCCGAGTTTCCCCTTGGCGAGGTAGGTGTTAGTACTCTCCCGGACCAAAATCCATCAAAAAAGCAAAATCCAAAAAGGGGGGAAGGAGGTGCCCCCGTTCCCTAAAGCGGAAAACGGTAGTATTCATAAAAAGAATGGGTTCCCCCTTGGTCCGAGGTGTTTAACTTGAATTCCGGCCGAGTAATACTCAACTCAAAATGTGGGGGGGTGGGGGCTTTGGTTCCCTAATGTTGAAAATTCATCTGGGGCCTAAAAAATTGAGATGCCCATTGGTACGGGGTCTCTAAGTCGAATACCGGCTAAGTTATGCTTCGTCAAAAATAATTACTCGTTTAATGGGTCCCCCCACTCCGCCCGACGGTCCCGGGGTAATCGATTTATAAGACGTTATTATCACGTCAAAAAAATGAAAAACACGGGTTTTTTTTTAATATAATAATAATAATGTTCGAAAATATTCGTCGATAAGGAAAAGGGAGATAAGCGAGCGGAATTTATAGCGAACGCGCGGGAAGTATTGTGATTGGTCGTCATGGAAGAAACGCGGAGTGCCGTGAGCGCTCCCCGCGGATCTTATACGCGTTATTAGCGTTTTATTATATAAGACTAGATTCCGGTGTTTGTCATCCCGCCTACGGCGGAAAGACTGTGTGGGTGGTGGTGCATCTTTGTCGGCGATGCTGGGTTTTTTGATCCAGCCTGCGGCGGGAATGGGGGGTCGTCGGTTATTGTGTTTTGTCGTGTTGGCAGCACTGGTTAAGCGGTAATTTTTGAACTCGGAAGAGTGTCTAGTCGTAAGTCACGCGATTCAAGTCGATCGTACGACACAGCCAGCCAGGTAGGCAATCCGACTACGGTTCTCGTATGTGTGTTGAAATCGGAAATTCGGATTCTGAGTTTGAGTATCTAGCTATCAGTCATCTCGGGTGAAAGTCGATTCCCGAGTGTCAGATGCAGTGGGGGTGTAAGTCGCTCGTATGGAAGTAGCTAGTCAGGTAGGCAATCCGACTACGTCGGATCGCAGACCATGCACCAGGCGTGTGTGTCCGGTTCTCGTATGTGTGTTGAAATCGGAAATTCGAATTCTGAGTTTGAATGTCTAGCTATCAGTCATCTCGGATGAAAGTCGATTCCCGAACGGACAATCCACCTGTGGCGGATCGGATGCAGTGGGGGTGTAAGTCGCTCGTATGCAAGTAGCTAGTCAGGTAGGCAATCCGACTACGTCGGATCGCAGACCATGCACCGGGCGTGTGTGTCCGGTTCTCGTATGTGTGTTGAAATCGGAAATTCGGATTCTGAGTTTGAGTGTCTAGCTATCAGTCATCTCGGGTGAAATCCGATTCCCGAACGGACAATCCGCCTACAGCGAAAAGTGCTCGAAACGGCCGTTCAAATATGAAAAAGTATACAGGAGGTAATAAAATTGTATTTGTTGATAATTATAGAGAACAGTTATCAGGTGTTTTATGTTAGGCTTTACTGTAATCAATGTAATTATTGTTATGTTTTCGCGATTATAACAAATAAGTCGACAAAATCTAATTTTCTGATTGGATATTTTCTAAAATATACCTTCCATGTATATTTATTTAATTATGAGAATTAAGTCAAATTAACAAATAGATAATTATATTGGTGAATAACAAATTTTATTGAAATGTACTACTATCCTATTAAACGTAGGTATCTATAAATGAATACACTACACATACTCTCGTTTCCGACACACTACTCCACCCCGGGACTCGAATTTTCGAAAAAAACGGCAAATGAAGCAGTCATATTACAGTCGTACTATTTTTTAATATAGTATTTATAATCTGTAGCAGTATTTAACCAAATCGGAATCACGTAAAAACTGTAATATATCAAGTAGGTACTACACGTAGGTTAGTTATATTATAATGTATTATTAAAAGAAACATGTAGGTGCGTCGGTAAATGTTAATTATAATTATTTTTTTGCCCAATAAATATCGTCAAACGAATAATAATAATATATATAATATAATAATGCAAATTTAAAAAAAAAATTAACACTTTCGTTAAAAATGATAAATGTGACGAAAAAAAAAACGCAAAAAAAAGAAATTCGATTTAACACGGCCCCGCCGGCGTTCGAAACCACGACCGTCGAATCACCCGTTTTAACGCCTAACCTACCTAGCCACCTACCGAGATGAAATTAGGAGTCAAATCTATGACTCTTAAGGGCGTTTGAGCGGACCACCGTGTCCGCCACCTTCGGACGTTCAAATCGCGAGATTTGCGAAAAAAATCGAACCTCGAGGCGCATGTATATACATGCGTATATATGCCTGTATATAGCGATACCTACACGGTACCTACTCTCGTTTCCGACACACTACTCCACCCCGGGACTCGTCTGTGGCTATAAATATAGCAGGGAACGCGAATAAGTAGTCGACGGGGTGGGTGATATGACCGAAAGGGGCTAAAACTATAATTTTCAAAAAAAACGGCAAAAAGAGCAGTCATATAGTCGTACTATTTAACTGCCAGAGTTTAATCAGTTCTATTAGATCTATTAGTTTATTAATACCGTATTAAACAGTATTTAACCTAAAAACTGTAATATATCAAGTAGGTACTACATGTAGGTTAGTTATATTATATTGTATTTATATAAGAAACATATAGGTGCGTTGGTCACGGTAAAATCAAGTATTATTATTATTATTTATAAAATAGTACAGTATCATTATACAATTTAGTAACAATTTAAAATATCTACTTTAATATATATTAATATTTTTTTGCCAAAAAAAAAAAAAATGTGACGAAAAAAAAACTCGAAAAAAAAACATTCAAATTATCACGGATGGCGCAATTTATCGAAAATCCCAGAGGCCGGGGTTCGAACCCACGACCCTCGGGTCACATATCCTAACGCCTAACCTAGCCACCTACTCAGATGAAATTCCGAGGCAAATGTATGACTCTTAAGCCGCGTCGCCGTGCTCGCGGCGATAAAATAAAATTCTTATCACTTTCCTTATCAATAAAAACAATATTTAAGAAAATCCCAATAAATCCTATCAAAAACTCAAAACCCCGAGTTTCCCCTTGGCGAGGTGGGTGTTAGTACTCTCCCGGACCAAAATCCATCAAAAAAGCAAAATCCAAAAAGGGGGGGGGGAGGAGGTGCCCCCGTTCCCTAAAGCGGAAAACGGTAGTATTCATAAAAAGAATGGGTTCCCCCTTGGTCCGAGGCCTTTAACTTGAATTCCAGCCGATTTATACTCAACTCAAAATGTGGGGGGGTGGGGGCTTGGGTTCCCTAATGTTGAAAATTCATCTGGGGCCTAAAAAATTGAGATGCCCATTGGTACGGGGTCTCTAAGTCGAATACCGGCTAAGTTATACTTGGTCAAAAATAATTACTCGTTTAATTGGTCGGGGGGACGGTTGCGGGGTAATCGATTTATAAGACGTTATTATCACGTCAAAAAATTGAAAAACACGTGTTTTTTTTTAATAATAATAATAATGTTCGAAAATATTAGGATCGATAAGGAAAAGGGAGATAAGCGAGCGGAATTTATAGCGAACGCGCGGGAAGTATTGTGATTGGTCGTCATGGAAGAAACGCGGAGTGCCGTGAGCGCTCCCCACGGATCTTATACGCGTTATTAGCGTTTTATTATATAAGATTAATATATCTTGTACAATGAGTAGGTACATTAGTTTAAATAAAAATTAATGAACTTGTAACAGTTAAGATAGATTCACATATAAATAGTTCACAGAGATATTACAGAATGTACTTAAAATATTTATAGTTAATTATAAAAGAAAACTACAATTTTTATTGCAAATTCTTATTTTATATTATATTTTCAAACTCTACCTACTTGTTAGTTAATTAATATGTTTTAACAATAAAATAGGTACTTTGAAGTCACATTCTTATAATAAATACTTAACAATAATATTTTAGTTTAAACATATTATTGTTAATTTGTTTGTTAAATTAAAGGTTATCTTTATTATTTCCTTTAACTCTTATTTAGTAAATAATTGCTGTCATCAAGTTAAGTAAAAACTGAATTATGAATTATTCAACAACTTAACTGAATCTATATTAATCTAATGTAATGTCACATTTAATATATTTATATTTATTTATTTAAATACAATTTCAAGTAAATAAGTTAAGTTTTAGGAATATTATACAAAAATTAACAAATAAATTGCAATAAGTACTTACGCTAACTCCAGTTTTGTCTGCTAGTATGATATTTTTTAATACTACTGTATCATAAGAGTTTTTTTTTTTTATTTCCTTTTTCCTCTATCTTAATAATTACTCCAATAGTATCTTTCAGGAAAACACAATATTTAAAATATTATTGAAAGTATAATAGGTAGGTAATATATTATATTATTGTTAATATATCTGAATAATTACCAATTAAAGTATTTTTGGCCATTGACAAAACGTCTTCAATTGTTTTAAGCCGTGGATGACTGGGAATATCCGTATCTTCAGATTTCTCTATAGTTGTTGTTTGATTAAAAATGATTTCATAATCATTTTTTGATTTATTAAATGTCTTATTTGCTAATTTTATTAATCCATTTTTAATATTGTAAACATTATCTTCCTTTTTAAACAAAATAAATAAATAAATACATACATAGGTACTATAAGAACTAATGAATTGATAAAAGTTAATATCTACTCATCAAGTCATAATAGAATAAAAATCGAATAGGTTAATCACATAGGTTTATTAAATAATGTAATTAACTTGTTCAATGCCAACAATGCTTTGGCATACCTACTGAATGTCTGTATCTAATACTAAAATATTTTATCACCATTCATCAGTTGAACATTGAAAATTATATTTAAAATTAAATATGGTATATTGCTATAAAGACTGTGGCTTTACATATGAAGCTGGATGAACTTGTCTGTGGGTAATTATTGGCATTGAGGGTGTCAAAACTATTTAAAATGTCTCTACATTATCTGACTTTTGAAAACTGGAAGCGCATGTAAATAATAGAATGCTGAAAAAGACAACACATACATGAAATTGACTGTATAACCAGATATGTAATGTCCTTTAAATTAATGATTAAGCATAAGAATGAGAAATTATTTATATTTTGACGTCGACGATTGTGCGAAGAAGGGGGCTGCACAAGGAAGCCGGGCGACGGATGTACCTGGATGTGTGTGCACAGGCGGCAGCTACACGTAAACCGACGCGTTCGTTGTCTTCGTAGGTATAATATTCCTCGACGTTCTATCGGTGGGGAGGAGGATGAGAGAGTGGACTGTATTTAAGATAAATTCATAATATTGAGTTTAAGGTATTGGGATGAACATTAACAATTACGTTTTGTGGTATGAAAAAAAAAGGTACAGAATAATTTATTTTGAATGTTCTGCAAATGTAGTAAATTAACGACTAAGGTTAGTAATAATAGTATAGTGTGCACGATCACAATCCGATCGGCAAATAAATCAATTACAAATAATGAAAATAATACACGGTGACGGTGCGCGTGATACGAAAAATAAACAACAACAATATTGTGTACGACCTGATATGCGTTGATACTTGATAATGCCGATGATACCGTGAGGGTGGTGTGATTGTCCCAGAACGACGATCAGCTGACGGAGGTGAAACCGGATCGCGACAGTACACCGCACGTAGACTAGGACAACGTCGGCCGGCAGGTCAACGAACCTTATGAGCTTGCCGTGTAATAAAACGTCATGGTTGACAAATGTGTCGAAATCGGACGAAGCGGGTTCGAAAAGCTCGTACGGCCGCGTAATATCGTACGGTCGCGTATGGACGTCGTTGTCGCGGCGTCTGTCAAACGGCGAACACCACGGCGGATCGCACTGCGTACAACGACGGGCGAGCGGTCAAACGGCGAATACCACGTGGGGACCACGGCGGATCGCACTGCGTGTAACGACGGGCGGGCGAAAAACGGCGGTTATTATTTTGGCGCAGACGGCCGCAAAATAATGAAATTCGTGTGTGTGCAGAACGACACAACACGAAACGGACACAACACTGTCCGGGCGGTGCTTTTGGCGCAAACGGCCGCAAGGTATGAAATTCGTGTGTGTGCAGGACGACACAACACGAAACGAACACGACACTGTCCGGGCGGTGCCTTTGGCGCAAACGGCCGCAAGGTATGAAAAACACAAAAAAACCGTTAAACCGAAAAAGCCAGGATGGCTGGGCGACGTACGACGGACGAGAGACGACGAACTGCAAAAACGATAATATAAAACACGCGCGACAACGGCGAGATAAGTGTTGTATGAAGCGCGTGTGCTCGTGGTGAGAGGTAGGGCGATAACGACGAACGGTCGACCGAAGTCCGCGAGACGTGTGACGGATCCGTACCCAACAACGATATTTTTAACGATTTAGCATAGGTACATAATGTACAAATTTTCTAGTTACCTGAAGTTGTGAAAATAAACGGTCAACATCGGCTCCAAAAGCAGTAGCATTTATTTCTGTAGTTTTGTCAATCAATACTGTTGTAAAGCGTTTTCCATTGCTACCGTAATTAAGAACATTGGATTTTTTTAGAACACGTGCTTTGGTTGACCAACTAAAAATTAACATACAATTACTATGATTGATATGGAACACGATATATCTTTAATCGTGGTGAGGAATAATAATTAAGTAAACATATTATTTACATTACTTAATACTTACTCATTGTTATTCAAAAAGTTGTTTAAATCGGCTATTTCGTACTCCATATTTAAAAATTTGAAATGAAAGAAATATAAATTTTAAAACAGAAAACATTAATGATTTAAATTAATAATTATTAACAAAATGTAAACAAAATTACAAAAACCCAAAATGATTCGGATACTTTGTACGTCGAGTGTCGAGTAGGTATCTTATTATAGAATACAATGAATACATGAATGTTTAATGCCGGTTGACGGTTACGGACGGAAAGAGTTGGCAGCCGCCCGACACTTCGCGGTCGTGAACGACGCGGAGGGCCGAGCGGTGTTGCCAACACAGGGAGCGCGACCGACATAGGGAGGGAGTATGTGGTGAAAGCACTGGTTCGCCACATACCTATTACCAACACAATAAATAACTAACCTAACCTAACATATGTAACAAAATAATGTATAGGTCTACTACACGGATATCTCCTATCTTCTAAGACCGTGGTATCACGTAATATCCATAGATAATATGGGTACAGGGTAGTTGTTCGAAAAATGATAAGAATGTCGAGTACGATAATTCTGAAATGTTGGCATTACCAACATAATATTTTTTTTTTTTAAATAGGAAATAATTTGACATTTTAAATATGTGCTGCACTGAATAATTCGTTAGCTATTATTTATTAGTTATTACATAACACGGTCTTCATAATAACAATTATTGAACAAGCTATTTATAACTAATATTGTTCTTAACTCTTTAAATAGTCCTATTAGCTATTGCATAATTTGTTGACAAAAGACCTAAGTTAGGTTAGGTTATTAAGATTATAGCCTATACAATTAGTAGGTATACTTATCTGTAGAAAATAAAATAGGTCTATTATAGTCTAATGACTGCAGCTGTCTGCACTCTGCTTATTTTTAAATTATTTGGTATGGAGATCTAAAGTTCTGGACACTGAAATACTGGACGTCTAGAGTCTAGACTACACCCAACATCCGTACACTACTATGTTCAATGATGATTCACTTTGGAAAAAGGTAATTATAAAATATACTTTTTTGAAATTCGTAAATACAATTTATTTATAGTTTTAATAATAAATACTAATAAATAATTATACTAAATAATATAACAAACAAATAATAATACTAAATACATTGAGAAGTGTTTTTGCTCTACAGTAAGTTTCAATTAGTATACCTTGAGTACATCATTGTTAATGTACAACATTTTCAAAATATTTTGATTTATTTTTAACTGTTTAGGGACATTTTCAGTTTCCACTTTTATTAGTTTTTTTTTTTATGAATATCAATAAAAATTTATTTGTTGAGTAAAAATACTTGAAAATTTAATACAAGGCTCCTACTATATTGTAACAATGGTATTTGAAAAATATTAAAAATTAGTTTTTAAAAATTAAGCATTTAAAGTTCAAAAATTGACAAAATATGGAAAAATCACAAAAATAAGCAAATTATTTTGAGTTAAGAATTCGTAAACATTTTTCTTTTTAAATCTAAGGTTTTAAAATGTAATACAAGATTGTAAAGACTGTAAATTATATAAAAGTACTAAATACAGTCATCTATAATTAAATCACAATAAAGTAAAAAAAATTATTAATTAATTATTACCTTGTGTCAGTTTCGTATCAAATAAATGAGGTAGTTAAATCTTAAATAGTATTAAAAATTATAATTAAACACAATAATATATACACATATGAAAAAACAATTAAATAATTATATATTTTGCAGAAGAAGGTCTGGCTCTCCTAAAGTACATGAAATATAAATATTCAAATGAGACTAAAGAATATTTTATTTTCTTATAATAGATATCAACTATGAAACTTGCCTTCAGATTATTTGAGGCTTGTTTAAATTCCACTTCGCAAGTATTTTCTAAATACCTCAACTGGTCTGTAGATTAAAAACAATATGTGACCGACTTTTGATTAGTAACCGGTATTAACTAGTTAAATGAAAACTTACCAATAAATTCCCATATTTTTGGATGAGGCCTTATGATTTTTAAGAGTACGGCATGGTAACTTTCTAAATAATTATTTGTCCTAATATCGCGATTATATACCGTAAATCTTTTAGGAGTTATGGGGCCTGCTCGCGATTTTTCAAATTTTCCGCAATTCTATAAAATTTGAAAATTAAATTTTATATTTTAGTTGCCACCTCAATTATAAGACTTTTTCACTAATCTACTACCCAATACCTATTTAGGGGGGGTTGATAGGGTGTATTATATCGGTCAAAACACAGTTTACAGGAAAAACTCTCACACCTCGTAGATTGGTCCGATTTCCGTAATTTTTTTTTGTTAGATAGAGGAATATTTTTTACAGGGCGCATTGGACTTCGATTTTTGATTACGTCGCTAAAAATAAAAAATAATACAAAAACTAAAAAGTTGTAAAAATTGATTAAATTCAAACTTGTAACATAAGATTTAGAAAAATAATGTTGAAAATCCAAGTCCAATGCGCCCTGTAAGAAGTCTTCCTCTATCTAACAAAAAAAAATTACGGAAATCGGACCAATCTACGAGGCGTGAGAGTTTTTCCTGTAAGGCATGTTTTTGAGCAAAAAAACAGGTCGCGTGCAGGCCCCTTATGGAATGAATCCAAAAAGGAATAATGTATTCATAAATAAATCGGTGGTACGCCAAAGCAACATCTTCATACTGCACTATGAATACAATTATGGCATTAACACCATCAACCACCGAAGGAACTCTGCCAATTCTTTCAGACGGAAGGTATGGTAGTGCAAGTATCTGTAAAACATTTTCATAATGAATTCACCATAATGATTTATTTTAAATGTTTAATAATAGGTAAAATATTAAGAACCATCCGGAAAACACGAGCAGCAACAGGGTTTATTTTTACTAAATTGTAAACACCGATCGACTTGTTTCTGGCATACCGTAGAATCGCCTAAATGAATTAGTAATAATTATATATATATTTTAATATTTCTTATTAAACCCTTACCTGACAATAATGGAAATAGCAGCCCTGGTGAGTTATTTCTCTAAATACATACTGTATTGCCTTGATCTGCCCAATTTCATAATCTGTTATAATCATTAGATTTTGGTATTGCAGGGGTATCATATCTTTGATACGTGCAAATAATGCAGTATATATTGCTTCAGACTTTCCATTTAGAAGCGCATATACCAGAGGATAGCTCTATAATACAAAAAAAACAAGAATTAAGACTTAGAACAGAAGAAAAATATTCATATAAGTTTCATAATTGCTGAATATAGAAAAGAACATACAACATTTTTGTACACTATTTGAAACGTAAATAGTTGGTAGCAATCATTATCTATGGTCTTTGGGACAGTCTTGAATGTACCATCACATCCGGCTACTGTGATCTATAACATCATAACACTACTAATAATACTTAAAAATAAGAAAAAAAATAATCTTGACTTACGTTTTGTAACTCAACAGCTATGTCCTGAATAAAACTTGTGTTACAAAAGACTAATCCAACTAACATTCCATTTACCATCAATGGCCCCTGATAGAATCTGTAAATGGAAATAATCATTTACATTTTAATTTTTTTACTGATTAATATTAGCTTTTACAGATTTGGTTGTGCCTGGAATGTGAGGGTAAAGTGTCGGTTTTCATTAATTTGTAAAAGTTGATGGAGGTGTAAAAGATTCATTGGAGTTGGGGGGAATATGGATTTTCTAATTTGGCGCATTCTCTCTGTGGCTTGGAGGTATGTATAATTGTATGCTCCTTCTGGACAACTGAAAATTAATTTATAATAATAATAGTAATTACTGTTGAAATTTATCAAAATAATTATTGTATTAAACATTACATTTTAATTGCTTGCATGTATAATGCTTTAGCTGAATAAGGTGTAGGACTATGAGCTACACACTGTTCTGCAAGAATGTTCCGTAATTCCCTCATGGATGTCTCATCTCTCCTTACTCTATGATTATGTCGCTTCTTGATGAAAAATGCATTGTCATTTAAATTTACCGATATCGATCCTGTTGCTGGACATCCACTCTTATATTCCTTGCATCTCACATAACTGTGAACAATACAATTAAATAAAACTTAAATTTCTTCACACAATTGTATTACCTAAGTATTCCAACTTAATTTACATTTTTCTTTCAGTTGTTTTACTTTTAAAGTACATATGTCCTAAATTGTCCTTGATTATATGTTCTGTGCGGTGAACACTGGGAATTGTTACATAGGAATGAGGACGTTCATCGTCATCTTCCAGAACATCAACATCCATAGGTTCAAATTGATTTATATATTCTTGAACTATATTTAAACCATTGAAAAAAAATATATAAAATGGTAAAATTTGATGGGCATTGTGAGAGAAAAAAAGCTTTCTACTAGAAATTGTCTTCAGACAAAAAAAATACTTTGTTCGTACCTGGTAATATATAGTCGTGATCCATTAAATGAAAATTTGCCATAGTAAAAAATTAAATAAAAATTTAAAACTGAAAACCTTTAAAAATGTGTAGGAGTGAAGTTTAAATAAAATGCGTATAGGTTGAGTTAAACAAACCTGTGACCCAGTTTTCTATAATATGTTATAATTTCAAGATCTATAAATAAATAATATTGGATTTTCACATAATAGTGATAGGTAATCATCTTTTCTACTATCTTATTGATTGTATTAAATATGAAAACAGCATTTTAGATTTTAAGCACACAGATGAATATTAATTTATAATAATGTAATTTTATTTTTTTTGTGTAAAAAAATATTTTTTAACTGCATATTTTTATGTATATATTTTTTTTTGTATATCTAGTATTTAATTAAAATAATAAATGCATCAAATACAGTGAATATTAAAACATGTTATTATATATATATATAAAAATAAAATATCTTTTATCATTAAAAAAATGTTAAATAAGATTAACCCTTCCATAACAATATTTAAAATTAATAATTTGTCAGTCTTGTAAAGTACCTAAGTAAAATTGATTTTAAATGGATATACATATTACATATAGACAGTCTTATTTAATGTACCATAAGTTAACCCTTGTAATTCTATAGTTTCTTCTTTCTACACTAGAACACAAGTGGAAAATGCTCCTGAGTTCAGTTAGGGAAGTTCAATTAAGGGAAAATTAATATGGTATGTCGTATATGTATATATCTTATAATAAAAAAAACAATATAATTTAGTTAATCATATTAATTTGTTTTTATTCTATTAATGATTACATTATGTTTAAATTAATTGAAAATTGTAACGCATTAAAAGAAGGTAAACCTCTAAGTTTATGTTACATACATTCTTATAAATATACAATTTTTATTTAATTTAATTTATACATTTTTCCAACATTGCCTTAAATTAATATTAATTAATATATTATACATTTCAATTATTGTATTAAATATTGTAACTAGTTGTATCCATTGTATTTTTGTTAATTGTTTCTTTGTAATGTCTTCCTTGAGAACATAGCTTATGTTTATTGTCTTCAATGATGGGCTTGTAGTAAGTTTTTGTTTGAAGTGCACCATAGCTGATGCTGAAAAAAAAATTAAGTAAGAATATTTCAAATTACTTTATGGAAAAGATTATAAACATTTAAAATTAACATTTTTACATTTAATGTGCATCAAACCCACTATAATTGACCACCTTATTTTAATTTTATTTCTTCAGTCCTGTTAAATAAGATTGTATTTAGTATTAGTATTTATTTATTTAACGCAATACTATTTACAAGCAAATTTTGGAGTATCGCATGAAGAAGGTACCCGACCAGTTTTCTAAATTCTAAATTTTAAATCTATTGCGGTACTTACACAGCATTTCGAATAATAGAGATATTTTATTCGGTAACGTTGGTGTACATGTAGAAGGTTAGCGATAAAAATGTCTTATCATTTTTCGAACAACTATCGGGATCCGAGATAATATCTATGGTAATATCACGGAAAAAATAAAATATGTAGTAATATACACACAAATGTAATATTTTTTCTCTATTATACATGTATTCTCTATTATACATGTATTAGTATATTATATAATAAATGCCACTACTTACATTTTTTTTTTTGTATTGTTTGTTTACTTTAAATATTAATTAATTGTATACTAAGATATATTATACTTGTTATAACTACAATTACCTATTATACATTCATATTTGTTTGCAAAATGTATAAATATTAAACTTATAAACCTATCAATATTTAAATAAATAAATATAATGTATTAAAGAAAAACAATCTACAATAATTAGTAAAGTAAAATTTAATAATTAGATATTATAAACATATTAAACAGTTAGGTACCAAACTAAAATATTTGCAGTGTAGGTACAAAAGTTTACATTAATAACATAAAAATATCTCTAAAAATCTTAAGTATAATTGATCAGTTATAAACAGGGCTCGGAAGTTCTAGCAAATGCATATTTTTATTGGTTCGTCCTAGAACATCCAAAGTAAGATACAAATATGTTTCACACTTCTCTGATGTCATACACGAAATTTTATTTTGCTATTTTTTGCATATTTACGGATTTTACTGCTATTTTGCTAATTTTAGGTTTTTAGTGCTATTTTTGGGTATATTTTTACATAAATACATATTATAGAAGGTATTTTGCTAATTTGGAGTTATAAATGCTGTTAATGGGCATATTTAAGGAAATAAACACATATTGTTGAAAAACTAAATTACCTACCAAACAGCCGCCTACGAATATGTGAACGAAAACAAATTGTTTCATTTTAAGATGGTACGCATCCGGAATAAACGGCCTTAGACCGTTGTTATCGTCGATTACCGTTGTTATCGTCGATAACCTTCCAATAATTTAGTTATTTTTGTATCAAACCTAGTTGTATCAAAATATGAACTGCAGTTATCGAATTCGTCGTATTTACGTAAGATACGGCGCTATCGCCGTACGTAAAGACTTAAGATTTTATTTTAGTTGTCTGCGTTCTGCCGTCATTTGCGTGTTGTGCGTTTGATCGTGAACTATCGTATTTATCGTGTTTAAAAATGCCTAAAGTTAAACAAAATTTGTCAAATCGGCTCCAAACCTATGTTAATTTATATGGTCCTAAAATTTTTTCAATTGATAAAAGTGTATTATTTTGTAAAATCTGTGAAGTCAAAGTTAATTCTGACAAAAAGTTTAACGTATCACAACATATAAAAAGTGACAAACATATCAAAGGCCTTGCCCGATATGAAAATCAAATAAATCGACAACAACAGCAGTTATTGACAGTGACAAGTAATATTAGTAAAAAATCGTCATTTAATAAAGATTTGTGTGAGGCTTTTATTTCTGCTAACATTCCTTTGAACAAGTTAGAAAACCCAAAATTCAAAACATTTTTGGAAGTGTATACAAAAAATGATATTCCGAGTGAATCCACGTTGCGAAAAGGATATGTGGATGATATTTACAATGAGACCATGGATAAAATTAGGAAAATAATTTCTGACAAAAAAATTTGGGTCAGTATCGACGAGACCACTGATGTACAGGGTCGTTACATTGCAAATGTAATAGTAGGCACTCTTGAGGAAAATAATGCAGGCAATATGTTTTTACTTAATTCGGAGGAACTAGAAAAAGCTAACCACTCCACAATCAGCAAACTCTTTGATAGATCAATGAGCATATTATGGCCGGCTGGTATCCAACATGACAATGTCCTTTTATTTTTATCCGATGCCGCACCTTACATGGTTAAATCAGGAGAAGTACTAAAAAGCCTATACTCAAAAATGATTCATGTAACATGTGTTGTGCATGGACTGCACAGAGTCGCAGAAGAAGTTAGAAATCAATTTCACATAGTAGATAAAGTTATTTCAAGTGTAAAAAAAATCTTTAGAAAAGCCCCAAGTCGTTTACTTGTATTTAAATCGGAAGCGCCAAACTTACCCTTACCTCCGGAGCCAATTATCACACGTTGGGGAAGTTGGATTAACGCAGCAATTTATTATTGCGAGAATTTCGGGATAATCCACCGTGTTATTTTTATGCTAGACAGAAACGACGCAGTTAGTATTAAAGATGCTCAAGATAACATAATAAAACCTGGATTGGAAAACAACTTAACGTATATTAAGTCGAACTTTGCCAAATTAACTTTGGCTATTGAACAATTACAACGGCAACATATGCCTTTATCGGATTCACTAAAAATAGTTCAAGATATTCAAAAATCATTTGAAACATTAAGTGGTCCAAATGGAAAATCTGTTCAAAATAAATTTAATCAGGTACAAGAAAAAAATCGTGGTCTCTTGGCGTTGGTAAAAATATCACAAGTTCTAACGGGTGAAGAGACATTCCAAAATTTAGATGGTCTTCCTGAAGACTTAAATTGTAACGACTTAACATTTTTTAAGTACGCACCCGTGACGTCTGTCGATGTAGAGCGGTCATTCTCGACATACAAAACTCTACTATCAAATAACCGTAGATCATTCAAATTCGAAAATATAAGAAAACATCTTATTATTCAGTGCAATTCTTAAGGTAAATAAAATTAATACACTATATTATTCATTTATTAATAAATTTTTTTTATATGTTTATGTTAACAGAAAATGTTCCAGAGCCGGAAAAGTGCCTACTTCTCAAATATTTACTGTACATATTTTATAAAAAAACTTGTATAATTTAAAAAAGTTTTAAATAAAACATTTTTGTTAATGAAATTTTATTTTGCATATTTTCCAATTTTTAGTGCTATTTATAGCGCTTATATTAATGTTTTTATGTGCATATTTAAGCGCTAAAAATTAATTTTTTTAGTGCTATAACTTCCGAGCCCTGGTTATAAAATATAAATACTAAGTATTATATTAATATTTAGATATAATCGTATTACATCAACCATAATATTTCCTTATATACAATGTTTTGTGTCAATTTTGAGGATGGTAAAAGTATGTGTAAATTATTAGGATTTCCTATTCTTGATAATGCCACATATAATTGACCATGAGTGAAGCAAGATTCATTCAAATCTATTCCCAAAACTTTTAATGTTTGACCCTGGGCTTTGCTTATTGTGATACTGAAACAGGGTCTTATAGGAAATTGAACTCGCTTAAATAAAAAAGGGTAATCTGTAGGAATCATAGGAATCCTAGGAATAAATACATTTTTCCCTTGTCCCTGACCTGTAATAATTTTGGCTTCAATTACATTGTTGTGTAAATTTATTATTATAAGTCTGGTTCCATTGCATAATTCTGGAGGGTTCAAATTCCTTAACATCATTATGGGTATTCCTATTTTCAAACAAATTTTATGAGATGGTAAGCCTGATGGTTCTAAGGAATTTAAAAATTCTATAGGGTAATTTATTGTATTATCTGGGTCTCATGTATTATCAATGGACAGATATGTCATTGAAAATGAATCAATTTTTTGAATCATGTAGTTATTAATATAATTAACAACTTCATTCTTACACGTTAAAATAGCACGATCACACCACCATTGATTATTTTTTGTAATATTATCATTGATATTTGGGTATATCACAGAAATTAATTCATCAATAGTGTTTACTATATGACAGAATTGTTCTGACAGTTTAATAAATCCATCATTATCCACAGGAAAAGTACCATTTCCAATTTGTAATAGCCAGTTTGAAAAATTAGCAACATTGATATCTCCTTGCAATTGAACTCTCATATTTGTTTCAAGGTTTAAACATTTTACATATTTCCATAAGTGGGATGATTTAAGGCATGCATTAACTTCATCGGCTCTTGTGCCTCTTGGAACAACAGGTAAAATTTGACGGAAATCACCTGAAAACATAAAATTATAGTAATATAGGTAATATTGTTAGCTCATGTTGTTTAATAAATAATACACAATATGTGTTTTAGTTTCTAAATGTTTTGTGAATGATAATATTATTGAAATTAATGTTTAAATATAATAAATAAACTCACCAGAAAAAATTACAGTTATCCCACCCATAATTTTGGTTGAGTTTTTCAAATCTTTTAAAGTTCGATTTAATGCTTCTATTGCTTTTTTGTGAGCTAATGTACATTCATCCCAGATGATAGCACTGCATTCTTGAAATAACTTTGCACTCATTGTGCCTTTTTTAATGTTGCATACAGGATAATCAGTGTTTTGCAAATTTAGTGGTAACTTAAAAGCTGAGTGTGCTGTTTTACCATTAGGTAAAAGAGTGGCAGCTATTCCAGAACTTGCTACAGGAATTACAATTTTTTTTTTAGCTCTTATACTTGCAATTATTAAATTGAGAACAAATGTTTTACCCGTTCCACCAGGGGCATCTATAAAGTAAATACCTCCAACTTTAGTGTTAACAGAATCCATAATTTTTAAGTAGACTTTATTTTGTTCTTCTGTTAGTTTTGGTTCGGTTTGAAGCACAAAAGTTTCTAAGGTAGTTGTATCGTATGTTATTTCTTTTAAGTAATCATCAGGCATATCATATATTGAATTTTCACGATTTGGTCTAGGAAGTTTATACAGTTCTAAATTTGTATTATTTAATGTTAATAATATATTCTCTATTAATATTAAAGCTTCATTGTAAATATCATCATTGTATTGAATATTCTTATCAATGTTTTGTACTCTATATAGTATGTCTTCAGAAAAATTATTTTTATACTTCACCCATAACTCGTTGGGATTATTAATGGCACATACATTTAACATAATTGCAAATAAGTTTCGTAACTGCGCTGGTGAACTTGAATTAGATGCTTCACTTAATGTTAAACTCCAATGATTATCATTTTCTAATATGCCTAATGTCTGACATGCTTCAAAATAACTTGAATATAATTGACCATTTACTTCTCTTAAACTTTCAAAGGATGTTGGTCCCTTAATATGATGCAATAATAATCGTACATAAAAACATTCAATATTTTTGGGATGAACAGTATATACTCTACTTAAAGTATCAGACGATTTAACACCTGGAAAATTTTCAACTGGGCTCCCAATTTTACGACGTTTAAAACATCGTTCACTTTTATTCCATGTATAATATTTTGGCACTTGGTAATAAAATAATGTTTTAGCAAATTCGTCATTTTGACAGAGTATAAAAAAAGCAGACTTAGCGTGGTTTTTTATAAGATATCTAGCCTATTTTCAACTGTTTGGGGTGTATAATAAATCCTTTGGCCATTTTCTAGATGTACTGCTAAATGCACAACATTGGGAAATCGTTCATGAATATTGAAACTTAAAATCTTCCAAATAGATTCATTAGTACTAATATACCGACCATGTCTATACTGGCTTATTTCATCTCCATCATTAACCATGTTAAAAATTGCTTGGTCAGAGCCCTTGTTAATATATTTACAAATATATTTAATTGCCTTTACAGAACAACAATACACGTACATTTCCCCACCCCCACCCATTTGACTTTTTCAACTTTTTCCAACGCCAATATTTAGTGCTCAATTCCTGCCAATTCCTGCCGTAGACCCCGGAATTCCTGCTCAAAAGCCGCCCCCGCAAAAGCCAAAAAACTGTGGGTGGGGCTGGGGAAACGTTTCCCCAGCCCCACCCATGGTCCGAATTTGACTTTTTCAACTTTTTCCAACGCCAATATTTAGTGCTCGATTCCTGCCAATTCCTGCCGTAGACCCCGGAATTCCTGCTCAAAAGCCGCCCCCGCAAAAGCCAAAAAACTGTGGGTGGGGCTGGGGAAACGTTTCCCCAGCCCCACCCATGGTCCGAATTTGACTTTTTCAACTTTTTCCAACGCCAATATTTAGTACTAGTATACTATAATAATAAAAATATATATATATGTATATATAATTATAATTACTATTAGAGAACATTTATACAAGTAACATTGATTTTTTAACTATGATATATATTATATATGATTATATTGATATATTCAAATCACGTTCAATGATACAAATTTATATTTCAAAATGTATTGTTATTTGTTGTTGTAAATATGAGATAATACTTTTCTTATACCCTGTTATCATTGATAAATGAAGTTGTATCAGTAATATTTATAGAAGTTTTTATATTATTTATTGATTGTAAAAAACCTGACTACTTATTATGTCAGTGTCAAAAAGTAGTTAACGAAATTCATGGCTTAATTGGAACAGACATAAAACATATTTTTTTCTTAGGAAATCTATTTATTAAAAAATATTATTAAATTGTATATAATAAATATTCGGCAGGGATTTTTTTAGTTCTTTTTACTGGAACTGGTTTTTTTTTTAAATCGTCCATAATTTCGTGTTCTATATTTGGAACTAAGGACAGTCGATAAAAATAATACTACTATTTGTAGATTTATATTATATAATGGTATAATAATAATAATGTTTGTTTTGACGGAAATTAATTCCAATTTAGAATATAACGAGTATGGTGACAGTAAATACTAAAATGTACAGGATTTATTTTAAATGAACGATTTCATCTGATGTTCTAAATAATATCTGCGTTATATTTGTATTACATAATATGAAGAAAACTTCTGTTTTTCATAGTTTACAATTATTCAAAAATAAAACTATATACCTAATAGATACATTCCGTGACGTAACTGAATAAAAATCTAGGCGTGGGGGAGGGGGGTTGCAATAAAATTAACCTCCCGAAAGCCGTTCCTATAGTCATAATCGCGATTTCAAGAATATAATATTATTCAACAAGAGAAACCATTAGATACAAATTGATATTCGACTGCATTACATCGGTTTGAAGAAAAAACCGATAGGGACCCGATAAACCAAAAGTAAAAATATCGGGAGATAATTAATATAGGGTACGGTATCGGCTCAGCTCTAATTGTGTTAACATATTATGTGGATTATTTGGGGGGCGGGGTAAGTGCCCCCCACAATTACGCCACTGGATACATTATATATATAATAACTTATTTACCGTATGTAATTATAAATTCAGTTTAAATGCATTGCATACACGATAATATTATATCGTACGCACAATGCAGAGTCGACCTTTCATTCAAATGTTATGGTAAGCAGTGATTGGTGTTAAACAGTGTTGGTGTCACAATTGGCTAGGATAAATAAACACGTACACCATATTATCGTAACAAACTATCATAAATCATCCATCTTGAATTATTCAATAAATATTAAATAAAATAAAAAACGAAATAATTAAAAATATTATATAACTAAATGATCCCGTGCACTTCGTTACCCGTTAAATTTATCAACTCTATATGACTCAAACTTTGTTCAATTCGTTATTTAATATTCTGTGTATGGTGTTCAAAATTTATCTTAACTTTTCCGTTGCCTGGAATAAAAATTCTGATTCACAGCACTACCTATATTATCAGGTAGACAATCGACCTGCTTTAGATCGCGGACCCCGTGATATTTGTACGTATCTTTACAATTTAACTCTAAAGTAGCAAAGTTATACCAAGTATCAGTGGCGGCGCGAACTTTTTCGACAGTGAGGCAAGAAATGTTAGTTGCAGCACACACGACCCACCCATTTTATTTGCATAGAGCCGTGGGGGGCTACGCCCCCCACACCCCCTTTTATTATTCTATATCAAATTTACCTTTCTAAAAATTCATTTTACGGGTACTACAATAAAAATAACTTTTATTAATTATATAAATACTGCTTTATTAATAAATCATTGATGAGGTCACTTGAGGTTTGACAAATCAGTTACCTACCTACCAGTTTGACATTATAATTTAATTGATGAGGTCTTAAAAAACCTAAAAAGGGGAAAATTATCTGTTTTGTATCTAGATAAAAAAGATGTTATCTTATCTTTTATCTAAAGTCAAATTCGGACCATGGGTGGGGCTGGGGAAACGTTTCCCCAGCCCCACCCACAGTTTTTTGGCTTTTGCGGGGGCGGCTTTTGAGCAGGAATTCCGGGGTCTACGGCAGGAATTGGCAGGAATCGAGCACTAAATATTGGCGTTGGAAAAAGTTGAAAAAGTCAAATTCGGACCATGGGTGGGGCTGGGGAAACGTTTCCCCAGCCCCACCCACAGTTTTTTGGCTTTTGCGGGGGCGGCTTTTGAGCAGGAATTCCGGGGTCTACGGCAGGAATTGGCAGGAATCGAGCACTAAATATTGGCGTTGGAAAAAGTTGAAAAAGTCAAATTCGGACCATGGGTGGGGCTGGGGAAACGTTTCCCCAGCCCCACCCACAGTTTTTTGGCTTTTGCGGGGGCGGCTTTTGAGCAGGAATTCCGGGGTCTACGGCAGGAATTGGCAGGAATTGAGCACTAAATATTGGCGTTGGAAAAAGTTGAAAAAGTCAAATGGGTGGGGGTGGGGAAATGTACGTCAACAATACTCTACATTGATATGCGCTTTGAATATTTTGCATAGTAGAGGGCAATAAGGAACAATCCATCTATTGTCAATAGTAAATGTAGTAGAATTTTTCGTTATTTCTGTTTGAAAACCACCTTCATTTGGACTTCTCCTACGATATATTGGGTATCCACTCTCGCTTGTAATAGTTTCCGAAACAAATGATTTAGGATATCTGTAATAATAATAAATAATTCCTATAAATTAAGAAATTGATCATTTTGATTTGTATGTTATACAGAAACACATTTTTGGCAGAAGATAGTCAAAGACTTTCTAAAATACTAATATAATACAAAAGTCATATAAAGACAATCAACCAAAACCTAATTATGTTAACTATAATACTATTAATTATTATCATATACAAATTATACTATATTATATATACATTACATTATTATATTATATGTTTAAATAATACCTTTTTGTACATTTGAAATTGTCTCCCATACATGGCGCTCGAGTATTTATTTGGGAACACGGTCCATGAATCATGTTATTTTTAATAATATCAAATAACTCAAGATCAATCAAAGGATTTGGAAATTCTGCACTGATAAAACTATCTATTTTATTAGGTTGAATTTTTTCAGTTAACCAAATTAAAATATGAACATGAGGAAGTCCTAAATAAGTAATAATAATATATTTATTAAAAATAAATTAATGTTAAAAAACACAACCTTTAAGCATTAACATACCCCGCTTTTGCCATTCAACACTATACATATAACAGCGACATGTTCCAAAAATTTTGTCTTTCGTTATCAATTTCATGAGAATCATAATTTTTTGATGAAAAACTCTTGCTATAATATCATGTCTATCTTGTGGTTTTTGCCCAGGCCACAATTCTCTGGTTATCTCAGTCCACTTTGGGTTGCAGGTAAATGTAATGAAGAGATTTGCACATCCAAAATGTCTTACATACACTAATGCATCCTGTGTCTTCTCATGCATATACCTATAAAAGTTTTGTTTTTTTTCTATATTGTAATAATTGTATGAATAATTAAAAATAACATTACCTAGGGCTTCCAGTATAAGTTGATGGTAGTATACAAAGTTGACCAGTATTCTCTACATTTCCATCATGAGCTATTGAATCTCTTAAATGAATATAATCTTCACATCTTAATTGAGCTTGATTATTACGCAGATATAATAATCTCTCACTTTCAATTTTTACCCACATATCAACCTAAAATAAATACAAATTAAGAATGATTATAAATAAAAATAATATAAAAATTAAATATTTCCTATTAAAAACCAACCCAAAACATATTTGCTAGTTGACGGTAATGATGAATATGGTTATAAGATTCATGCCGTATCATAAGCCTATAAGAATAAAATTCTTGGGCAGACACTGTTTTAGTGGTATGATAATCATTTGACTGTACATCAAAAGAAGCAATATTGATGGCATAACCATCTTCACCACTCACAAAAATTAATGGGTACTGCAGTGCATCATAAGATCTATGGGTTTCGCTAATTCTTTGTAGAGTCCCATTTTGTCGTTCTATAACAATATCTCTTCTGCCATGTTCTTGCCCAACTATGACTACCGCCATTTCATTAACAGTAGGAGCGTTAAAACGTCCAGGATTTTGACCTTAGAAATAATTTTTTTTATTAAATAACATAATATTAAAAATAAAATAGTAATACCTGTAGGTGTTTTATTAGCATGGATAACAATTTTATAGTCATTTGATGGCATATTTTGAAGAGCTGCTTTAAATTCTAATACATAACAATTTATTTGATGCATCATATTCTGGAGCTGTAATACAATATGTTGTCTAACACTTGGTTGATGACACATTCGGGTTTCAGCTTCTATATTTTCATCTTGACCTGTTTTGTGTACAATTCATACAGTGTATTAACCGTTAAATAATAAGAGTACAATTACCTTACCTGTGAAATACATTTGCATAAATTGGGGTTCATCTTTGCCTATAGGCAATAATGATCCAATGCGATGATAAATAATGCCTCTAATTTTAAAAGTAGACATAAAATTGTCTCCTTCTATCTTAGTAGCACCAAAAGATGTCATAGAAAATATAGAGTTATATTGACATATTTTGTCCATAAAGTGTTTAGAATCATTTGTTTCACCCTGAAGTAATGTATTTAATGGAAATGGTGTAGATTGAATAGGATCTAATCTCACTTTTCCATTAGAACAACACATGCCTTTACTCTCTCCTAAGCACATAACGGTATAAATATAAAACATAAAAATAAAATGAAAATATTTACCGATAAATTTCATACTATGACAATGTTTACATATTATATTACTCATTAAGCCAATATTAACAACATCTTCATCATAGTATTTCCATTGAGGATTATAATGAAAAACAGAATTTTCCAAAGTCCAATGAAATTCTATAATACACATACCAAATATACACATATATACACATACCAAATTAGGTATAAGATTTTAAACTAACCGAATATTGTTGGTATAGCTGTCGAAATTAATTTTTTTTTGTTCGTATTACCAAACATATTATCTTCAAAATGGAATGAACATACTTTATAATATGATTTGGATGATTTGGAAAATATGTCAAGACGATCACAATTTGTAAGCCATACATTCAACCTAATAATAATATAATAATACCTAATATTATAAACTAATACATTTCAACATTTCAAACAATGATCCAATTACATACCTATTTTCATTTGTTGGCAAAGAAAAAAGTTTTATATTTGTGTTTTTGCAATTTGTTTTTTTACAATTTAAAACACAACACCGCATTATAAAAATGAGTTAAAAGAAATCAGTTTATCTAAAAAGTTTTAAGTTAGGCAGTTAAAAACTTAAAACGTCGTAAAACGTTTTCCTGTAACTAAAAACATTCGATATGTTTAGTATATAATATATTCTTATATCTATACTATAGTCTATAAGAGTCTGCTGCTATTAGTATATATGTTCTTATAATTCTGTGTTACCACTAACAGTAACTAACTTTATGGTTGAGCTTATTATAAACACAGTTGGCTGCACTGCCGAGTCATGCACATGCACTTTTTGTTGAAAAGAGACAACGTTATCAGTCAAATTGTTGTTGGAAAGAGAAGTCCAACCAGTACTATTTTGTGCAGCAGACTCTTATAGTATATATAAGATATATTTACAAAAAATAATAATACAAATCAACAAACATGCCCGATTAACCAATAGCAACCAATACAATATAATACACATAAGAGTAAATAAAGACAACGGTATCGAGTTCAAATCCCAGACATCAATAAATAGTTTTTGCAGTTTTTCTAATTATTTGGTTGACTTTTTAAAAATTTTCTTTCGTAAAAACCTTCACCTGACAATTACGAACATCTTAAAAAAAATTTGAGCAAAATCGGATCAGCCGTTCTCAACTGATGCAATTTCGAATTTTTGTCTCCATTTTTATATATATAGATATATTAGCTATATATAGTTATATAGCTAGGCACTTATATAGTTATTTATTGCTGCAGTGAACATGAGTTCGTGGTTTGGACAGTGACAGTACGCCTATATTATAGAAAGGTAATTACACCTTTAATTATAACTATTATTATTTATTTCTAATATTATTGTGATCTGGTATTCAATATTAATATATATATATATATATATATATATATATATTCACATTATTATAATGTTTTGACCTTCGTGCGACGTGCCTTCATGCTGGCTTCGGTATATAATTTTTAAATAATATATAATATATTATTTAAAAATTATTATATTCATCCGCATTGTATATATTTATATAACTACGGTAAATATATTTATCATATATATCATCACCTTATTAGGTTTAGGTATAATAAATATACTATATAATATATGGTATAGGTACTAAAAAGCTATCAAATAAAAATATAAAAATATCTTGTCTTTTACATAATATTAGTTATGTAAAACCTCGTGTAAAACCTTAACATATATTTTATAACAACAATTATTCTTTTTATAACTATACAATAATATTGGATTTAAACGTTCAATATATTATATTATAGGTAGGAATAAATCGGGTAAAATTAACAATATTGAAACCAAAATTATAGCAGTTATAAATAGGTACCAAAATATTTATCAAAAATAACAGAATAATATTAGATTAAAATTAACTATCAACTTTTATTATCATAACAATTTGGAGAAACACCTATAGCAGGTACATGTTTTTTTTTTTTTACTTTTGTCTAGGTATAGGCGTATTTCATCCCTATTATATAGCCTCACATATAACTTGTATAAGCACATTTCAACTATGATTAAGAGTTATAGAAGTAAACGTAGAAGAATACAAGAAGAATTAAATCTGTAGCTCACCAGAATTACATGACAATGAACATGAAAACTCAAATTCGAGTAAAATTATAGAAAAGTTACCACCAGATTACAGTAATTATGATAAAAAAAAAATACAATGAATTTAAGTTCTATTATTTTACCATCAACAACTCAGAAAAAAAGCATTACTACCGATAATGTTATTGAGCAAGAAGAAATAAATATGCAAGAGTGTTTTGATAACGATTTGACTAATTGGGCAATTCATTCTAATATAACACATAATAGCTTTAATGCATTATTAAATGTGCTACGTAAACACCCTTGTTTTAAACAATTACCTAAAGATTGTCGAACATTATTAAAGGTTAAATCAAATAAAGCTATAAATGTCCGTGATATTGAACCATCAGGAAATTATTATCATTTTGGTTTAGAAAATGGAATAAAACAATATACAAATATTTTAAATTCATGTGAAGATATTAAAACCGTTGTCGGAATTGACGGTCTTCCAAGTAGCTTAAGTCAACTATGGCCCATTTTGGGATATGTTCGTCCTTTTCATAACAATGTATTTATTATTGGCATATACCATGGTTATGAACAACCTAAAGATTCTAATAACTTTTTGAATGATTTTGTTATTGAAGCTAAAACAATAGTTAATCAAGGTACCTATTGAGATAAATGGTAAATCCAAAAATGTTTCAATAGATGCCATCTGCTGT